AGGACAAGCTTGCAAGGCTATGGGGAGAGAGCAGGGGAGTGGGATTAATTTGGATAGCTTGTTCAAGGGCCGTCACGGGCACGATGGGCCTCCTTCTGTGCTGTACAATTCTATGATTCTATGAATGTGCATTACTTTTCAGACACAGCATTCCTTGCATAGGTAGTACACAAGTATGAGGAACACTCCACTTCGTGGAGTCCTGTGGCTCAGTGGTTAGAGCACTCGCTTTGCAAGTGAGAGACCTGAGTTCAATTCCAGGCAGAGGGCGAAACCTTGGGCAAGTTTCCTTACTCCACACAGAGCCTAATAATAAACCCTCCAAAACCAAAAACAATAATAAATTGGTCATTTTCAATCTACGACTTTGTGGGACATTGCTGTGCGCAATTGGCTGCCGCGTTTGCCCACAAATATACAGTCAATTCACTTTACAGTGTGTTCTGTGAAGCGCTTTGGGATGTCCTCCCGACGTGAAATGCGCTATATCAAATGCAAGGATTATTATTATTATTAGTCTGGTTTGGATACTCTTAAGCACAGTGATGGGCTTCTTATGTGTTGGGCAACCAGCTGACCAAATAAATCTGTTGAGAGTTCGGAAACATCAGAAAAAAATAAAATTTGAAGCAACATCAGTGAATGGGAATATCCTTATTGAAAAAATAAACTCTGGAGTCTGGTGTGTCTAGTTTAAAGCGAGTACACCTTAGTGCGAAACATAGCACCCTGTTTAAACACATTACAGCATATGTTAGACTGGCAATACACCAGGTTACTATTTTTACGTGCTGGCAGTCCAGTCTGTCTGAGGCTGCTGTAAGCAGGAAAAGAGCACAGTTTCTGCTCTCCGAGACTTGCTATTACATTACATCGCTATTACAATTTGTCTTGTTACATTTGGAAAATTCCTTTACTCCTCATGTTCAGTCGCTCAAATTGTGCAAGCACTGGTGTGCTGAAAACGCCCACCATTCTCATTGACAATGTCTATGACACTCCTTTACCAGCTGGTGCCCGATTTGGAACCCTGATCAGACTGATGAGCTGAACGACACTTTGCGAGGTCAGTTTGGGGCCGGTGTCGCCCAATTCCTCACAGCAAAAAGCTGCCCTGAATTCAGCATGGAACAGTGCATCTATCTGTCTCTCTATCTGTGCTGGGAATGCTGAATCAGAAAGTGAAGTTCCCTCTGCCACTGTTCATCCACACTTCCAGATCAGCTGCAGCATGGGTTAGAGACAGAGTACAGCTCCCTCAACACTGTCCGTCCAGCACTCCCGGATCAGCTATAGCACGGATTAGCGACCTCTCTATACTGTCCCCAGCCACACTGATCAAAGTGGAGCATCCCCATGCTGTGATGTTCGGAGTGGGGTTTGAGCCCCTCTTCAGGACAGTGCAGTGCAGACCATCAGATCTGACCAGCCACATTGCATCAGGAACTAAAGGGCAGAGACTGAGAGCAAGGCGGACAATGAGAAACAATACAAAAAATACCGCAGATGCTGGAAATCTGAAACAAAAACAGAAGTCGCTGGACCCGAAACATTGACTCACTTTCCTTTCTCCATAGATGCTGCCTCACCTGCTGAGTGTTCCCAGCCACTTCTGTTTTTGTCGAATGAGAAACAATACTGTGCTCTTATCCAAACCTTTTTATTCTACACCACTAAGCATATTTTTACAAATAATCCTTTCGTAATGATGCATTCACAAGAAGGAGAAACACACAGCAAACAATGATACTGTCATCATTTTAAAAAAAACATTTATGAAAAAATTTCATGGTATTTTTCATGCAACTGAAGAAACAGTTCTGACGGTTCAAAACGCACTCCAGCCTGGTGGAGGGGAGGGGATGGGTGGTAATCGAGTTCTCAGTCAACTGTTGATGTTGCAGGAACTGGAATGCGGAAACTTATCATTTAGGTGTTTCTGCACGGGTGGAATTTATTGAAATTTGGAATCACGAGTAGATTTCTCTCTGGCACTCCCAGGTCAGCTGCAGCATGGGTCAGAGACAGAGTAATGCTCCCTCCATAATACTCCAAAAAAATATTATAGGAGTATTATAGAGGAGGATTATATTCTAGAGGAGTATAATGTTTCCTCTTCGACCGTGCCTAAGGCCACCTCCCCCCTCTACCCGGCTTGTAGTCAGGCTCCGCCACTGTGAAGCACTCTAAGACGCTACCCTCCATGGAGGGCATTATATAAGTCAAGTTGTTGTTAAAAAAATACACCTCAGCCCCAACTTAGAAAAGTGCCCCCTACTGAAATCTGTCATTTCCACTGTACAACACTCGCTCCATTGTGTTGGAACTCCACTGCAATTCAGAGATCAACCCGCATTTGTACTCTTGTGTCAGTTTCTAATAGGTGCCCAACACGAATAGAGCAGTGTGACTAATCCTCAGGCCAGCTGGCTCTTTCTCTCTTTTTTGTCTTTCTCTCTGTCTCTTTCTCAATGGCTCTTGTATCTCTCACTCTTCTCTCCCACATTCTCTCTGTCTCCCATGTGTCCTGCCTTTAAACTAATGACCTTCAGTGAGTGGGCTGGGGGTGAAGGGTGGCGGGTGGGGGTGAAACAAGGCTGTGTTGAGACTGGAGCCAAAAACCATCTGGAAACATTGGGTTTTTCTCCACTTTTATAGTTGGAATGTGACACTGTTTAAACATGGAGCTCAATAGTTCTTTCACGTTGATGTTAGCCCTGCAGTGTCAACACAGCACAAGTGTGTTGATCGTGGTTTCTTGCTTTCCTTTTTCACATTCCTTTCTTTCTCTTGCTCAGTGAGTTATGAACCCCAAATATAGACCCCAACAGAGGTACCCATTGCACACAAGGTGAATGGGGGTTCTGGAGCTCTGATACTGGAGATGAGTTTCCATCTTCAGATAAACAGAGGCTCAGGAGAGTCTCTCAAGGAAGGGTCGGCAGAACAGACAACCTGGCAGGTGACCCATCTGAATAGGAAATATTGTACAACATCCAATCTGGAGTTTGCTGATGTTTCTGGTCTTCAAAGTGAGGAATGTCAGCATTGGAAACTTATTATCATATTTCAGATCCCAGTGTCAGCACCTGGCACTCACAGGTTAGCTAAAGCATAAGTTAGAGACAGAGTAAAGCTCCCTCTACACTGTCTGGCCAGTACTGACCACATCTATTGCATTCCAGACAATGAGTGTCGGCAATGACTTGCGGGGGTGGTGGGGGGGGTGATATTATCACAGATGACCCTGATCCTATCCTCACTCAAGAAATATAGGGATGCTGCTTGCAGTAAAGGTCACTGGATAGGGATCAGGAGCATTAACTCTGGCTGATTTTCCTCTTCCGAAACCAGAAAGGCCTATTGCCCTCTGGCTGGGACCAGCTAACTCCAACAGGCCAGCATTGGAACTCAAGCTCCTCTCAAACTGGTATAGAAAAAGCCAACCCCCCGGCCAGTGGTCTTATCCTCTGGGTGACCAGGAGATGTTTGAACACAGCACAGATTTCACATAAAGATAAAACCATGACTGAGAATTTGCAAAATGTAATCGCAGACCTAAAAATAAGTGTACTTTGACATTTAGTTCTGTAGCTCTCCTCAAAAATATTTAAGCCTCCCTCAGTTGTCTCTGACTCTTTTGATGGGATCAAATTTACTTTGATGGGTTGCCAATGACAAGCTTCCACTTGAAATAAGACTGTAAATTAATTTCCTACTGAGGGAAGACTCCACACTGTCTCACAACAGTGTCCTCCACTGTCTCTATACTTTGTGGTGACCTGCGCCTGCATCTACCTTGGTTGTGAAATGTTCGCCCGGGGCTTTGGAGCCAGGATATTTGGAGCCTTGACAGATTATTTGGGGAAGTAAATGGCTTTGGCGTCTCGAGCGTTTTGGAGGCACATCACTGAGTCTACACCCAAGTCTTTCCTTCCTTCCCATGGAGATACTCCGGGAAAAGTCGATTGGCCGACTGTGACTGGCGTATGTTTAGGAGCAGGAAAAACATCCCAGCTCATTGTTCTGTCCTCTCTACACACCGATGGCTCAGTAGATTGTTCCAGGGACCAGCTGCAAGTTCCTAGTTTCCATCCTGAGAAGCACAGGAATTTACAGCACAGAAGAAGGTCATTTGGCCCATCGTGTCTTTACTGGCTTGGTGCGAGCAAAACAAGGTGGCTCTACATTCACTGAGAAATGTGTTGTGTCTGGCCTCAACTTATCTCATAGCCAAAAGGCAAAGGAGACTTTCATCCCGTCAGTCTGAGCAGGATCCAAGCCAAGCTCCTGAAAGTTAAAGGTCAGTTTTCAGAGCCACTGCACTGACCAGCCCCAAAGAATAGTATTGAGGCAGGCATACGGTATTTAGGACGAAAGAGCTAAAAAGATTCTGAGCGTTTTGGGGGTAAGATTTACAATATTCCTTAAAGTATTCCTTAATTTATTTAAGGAAAGTTTTGAGAGAGACCAGCAGGTGGCTCACGTCTCCAGGTAAGTAGATTTTTCTGCTCAGGGACCAGGTGCGTGACCCTGAGAGGGGAAGAAGTTAGATTGTAAACATTATTAGGCCTTACGTTGGGCTCTATTTTTGTCTTCACACGGACTCTACAGGATTGATTTGCCCCAGAGCCAGGATGTACCCTCGCTCCGGCCATTGAATAAAAGGTTTAGCATACAGATAGGCGAAGTCCAAGGCTCCAAGCCGATTGCTCTAGACAAACAAGGCAGCCCAACATACACAGCACAAGGACCCACAGAAAGCCACGAAGGTTTATCTGGAGGATTGCCGGCCATAATGAACAAAGAGGGAGAGAGTTGGTGCGATGGCAGAGGCTGAAAAATGAACACTCATGCTGGAGGTTACATTTGTGAATGTATGAGTGAACTATCAGAGGTTCCTGCTGGATCTGCCGATAGTTAACATTGCCTCTCCCTCCCCCCTCCTTCCTTCCCCCTCCCCCTATTCCTGTCCCCCCCACTCCAACACCCGGTCCCCCTCTCAACACATTTCTCCGTCAAGCCATTAAATATAAGTGCAACACTAAACAAGCAGAAAGCAAAAATACATGCAATTTCAGAGCTACTATTCCACGTGGGCTTGTTCCAACAGCTCGTTCTCAGAACCTGTCAAACAAAAGACAAGAAAAAATTATATTAATATAAGATTGTCAGAATATTAACTAGAGTCTTAGCATGTGAATAAACTCCCACTGAAGTATACCTCTCATAAGAGAGATAAACCTGGGACAGTTACAGAGGAGAGCTCACAGAGACAGAGAGACTCAGAGAGAGATGAACAGAGAGCCACTGAGATAGAGTCATGGGCAGATACACAGAACAGAGAAAATATGCACAAGCTGTAACAGAGAGAGAGAGTGATGCACTCACTGAAAGATGCACTGCAGCAATTTGCATTTATATAGCACCCTTCACATAGGATAATAGCTGGCAACGCTGTACAGAGCAAGGGAGTGGGGTGGGGGTGGGGGGGCGTGAGAGGGGGAAGTGACCATAGGTGCAGTTGAAGAATTGGCCCAGAAGGAAGAGAGAGAGAGACACACACAGATGCACAAACACTAGACCCAAAGAGAGATGCATGGAAACCAAAGCATGCACATAGCATCGGAGAGAAAGAGAGTTAGAGGCAAACAGAGAGAGTAAACTGGCAGAGGGAGGAAAAGAGTGAAGACATGCAGAGAGACTACTTTCCACTGTATTAAGAATAACATTGTGCTACGTGCAGAGAGAGGGACTTTCAGCTGTACAGTATTACGAACGGCATTGTGCTACTTGATGCTTTGTTTCCTCTGGCTTGTGTTTGTAATCAGGAGAGAATAGCTGGGAAATGCTCCCATGCTGCTCTCGTGTCCAGCCGCTCAGGAATTCACCCGCGTGGGTCTGACATGAGCCCAGGACCTCCCAGAGGAAGGGGCGGAGGCTGTTTGGAGCCGTGCTTGCCTCCAACCCCTTCTCCCCAAATCATAAATATACATCTCCAAAGAGGAAGAGAAATAACTAGCGGCAATCCATCAGATCATCTGCTCCGCATTAAGATTTTGTTTATCACCCCTGATCTTTAATTGAATGCCTCGTGGCTGTGCCTTTTTCTAGACTAGAATCATTCCAAACATGTGTCTGTCTCTCCGTTCTCTGTTGATCGCACGCTACAGATATCCTGGAAACACTGGGCCAGAGAAACAGAGCAGCAGACACCACAAGGCCTCATAGACTTCAATTTAGAGTCAGGCTGCATTATGAATAGCCAATTAGGGAATACAGGGGCACAGGAGAGGGGATTGAGAGGGTGGAAGCGCATGTGGAGTAGAAACATTGGCATGGATTAGTTGGGCCAAGCAGTCCAACTAGTCTGTGTGGGATTTTATATGCCACATAAATCTCCACCCTCTTAATCCCCCCTCTCCCTCTTCTCCCTTCCCACACACACCCTTCTATTCCCTTCTCTCAAGAGATAATACCCTCTCCCTAAAACAAAAGAGATTCTTACATTCAGTAAGAAATTGGTAACCCACATGGGGGGAACGATTATTCCCAGAGACTGGTTCACAAATATCAGGTTGAGAGAATGACTAAGTGGCTCCTAACACCACCCGGCTGACCATGCTTTAGAGTATGAAAATCAAACCGAATTCTATGCATTCAAACTACACATGAAAATTCCCAAAATATTTATTAGAATGGAATGCACACTCTTTCTCCCTGAGGGATAATAGCTTATCCAATTTCAGAGAGTATTAGGAACAGGTTGACAAGAGCCAAAGCTTGGGGGAGCCCAGAATGTGCATTGGGGTAACTGCTGGAGTCTAACCAGCTAAAACCGCACAGCTTGCCATTGGTATTGCTGTCTGACAAGCATTCTGCTGCTTGTCCAGGTAGGACCACCTAGTTAGGGTTTTCAGTTGCAGGGTTAACAGGAGTTGACTGGTCTGCCCTTCTAAGTCCTACTGATGAGCCTGGACTGTTATCATCAGTCCTCTGGTGTACTGCAGACCCACCAGGCTCAGAAACTGGACCACTGACCACTACTGCCACAGAGGGTGGGCTTGATTCTGACATTCCATTGCCAAACATGTCACCTTGGAAGCAATTCAACTCTAAGTTTGGTGAGACATTTTGTGATTCTCCCAATCCGATATTTACAAATCCGACTCTCTCTAAGAATAATTGTCTACCCTTGTGGGTTACCAATTTGTTACTAGATGCAAGAAACTCTTTTGCTTACATGACAGAGTAGGGAGGGAATAGAGGGGTGTGGGGGAGGGAGACGTGGGTCTGAAAGGTGGAGACTCATGTAGAATATAAGCCTCGCACAGATTAGTGGGGCTGAATGGCTTGGGCAGGTGCTATATAATATTAGCGGAATATTCCTGTTAGGACCTTGAACCCCTGAACCCAGACCTGAAGTCAGTCACCAGAACACACACCTCGTAATCCTGCAGTTCCTAGCTGATACGTAGTTCCCAGTGTAGACAATATCACACCTCACAACATTGTTTGACACGTCAGACTCTGGCACCAGGAATCGTGGGTTGACGGAAACCTACAAGACAGGAAAATTATATAACTGATCACGCTTATTATCTCTAATCTGGTATGACTCACTAAATTTCATAGGAGCACAGAAAATTCTTCAGTCCAGAAGGTGTCCACTGACCGATCACATCTGTACCATCTCTACTTATTTTTTCTAACTCAACAATGTGATAAGGGGCTATATCAAATGCAAGGAATATTACTAATATATTATTATTAATTCTGTTTGTTTCAGTCCCGAGCCTTGTTGACCAAAGGCAACATTCGGGCAACATGCAGACACCGCATGGCTGTTTGGGTGAATCTAAACACCTAACCCACCTCATGGCTGCCACAATTATTTGCCAACACAGTCACTACATCCGATAGTAATTACCTGTGAAGTGCTTTAAGACATTTTAACGTGATGAAGTTCTAACGCTAAAAAGTTCTCTTTTTCTCTCAGGAGTTGCGAGTCATTTGTTTTGTATGGGGATAATAGAGGGTCCTTGTGAGATGTCAATACCGGATGTGACTGGGAAACAAATTAAATGTCTTCTGCAACTTTTCACAGGTTTCCGCTTTCTTTGTCGAGTCCCACACGACAGCTTTGCTACCTCTTGGAGGAGGAGCCCAGGTCACCGGCAATAATTCGGAGAGGGTAAGTCAACACTAAAATCCACAGAGGACTGAACTCAATAGCCTTTGAGATCACAGTCCAGGCTGATGCTGCCTTCAGATAGGACATTATGCCAAGCCTCTATCTGTGCCTGTTGAGGTGGGCATTAAAGATCTCGTGACACTTCAATAGGCAGTTTATCCGGTGTCCTGGCCAATAATCCTCAAAATTGTTGGCCAGGACACTGGAGAAAAGTACACAAATTGCTTTTTGCAAATTGGCTGCGCATCTGCCTACCAAATACACACATCCTACAATTAACAGCAATTTGTTATGAAGAACTTCGAAACATTTTGATGTTACAGGTGCTGTATCAAGGATTGCTTTATGTGTTAGAAAAATTAACCCTAATGTCATCTCTTAAACTGGAATAGTACCAGCCTCAGACCAACAGTACAGAACAGTTAGATTGTTCCCAATTCATGTTCTTGCTCCTAAATCCCCCCTCTACCCCCTCCAACACCTCCTTCCCCACCTCCCCACCCACCCACACACACACACACACCCTTCCCCAAAGACACACACACAAACCCTTTCCTGTCTGAGGGGTGGGGGAAGATGTGGTTGAAGGGAAAAAAAGCACCAATGCATTTAATGCATTTAACAGGAAATGATGCATAGGAAAGGAATAGAAAGGTGGAGGCTCATGTGGAGTACAATGATGGCACGGACTAGTATGACTGAATGATCTACTTCTTTGCTGTAATAGTCCATGTAATTCCATGTAATTGGGGAGGAGGTAATCAGGGTCTCCTTGGAGCTGAACCGGCTTCATATGATTTTACTGTGTATTTTTATGGATGAACCCAGCAACCAATTTGCACACAGCAATCAAGTGAATGGCCAATTTTATCTGGGGGATTGTTGGCCAGGAGAGAAACTCCCTCTCTCTTCAAGTAGTCCCATGGGATCTTTAACATCGACCTGAACAGGCAGATAGGACTTTGGTTTAGTTCTCATCCAAAGGACGGCACCTATGACAATGTAGCACAACCCTAGTATTACATTAGAATGCGAGCATAAACGCCATACTCTTTGAGTCCACCTGGACACCAGGCACAGGGTTTGTACCTTGCTCAAGTGACCGTGCTTCACATGTTCACATCAGCCATGGGAAGGGATGGGAGAGGAGGGTATCAATATCAATTGCACTCATCGCTTTTTTGTTCACTTTCCCTACGGATGGGGAGGGGTGAAATCACTGATGGTTTCAATCTTCAGCCCACAGGCACTGAGTGTTGGGGTTAGCAACACCTACAACAAAAGCAACACTGACCAAGTGCTGAACCCGGGAATTAGTTTGGATAAAGAAGACTCTCCGACCCATTTGAACCATACAATTTACATTTATAATAACGCATTTGACTTCGAGAAGATGTCTCAAAGCAGATTAGACTTCCTGGTAATCTGTTCCCGTCATTAATAGCACTCCAGGGGTATTTCCTAGTGTCTGTTCTGAAACTGCGCTTTACATCCTAAACCTGTGCCCAGGTATCCTGCTGCCTGGGTGAATCTGATCATAGTCTGATCTATTCAGTTTGATTGTGGCAATACAAGAGAGACCCAGTCTGATGATGATCCTACCAAGTGACTACAACATGTGAAATGTGGCATTCCTATAATCATTAGTGCAACTGGGACTGTTAATTCAGAAACAGCTTGACAAGATACACAGTGCACAAAATATCAACTTCCTGGAGAAAGTAGTTATTTTGGGAAGTTCAAACATACTAAGAAAAGTAACATCCGTTCATATGTAACGTGACAGTGTTTTTGGTCTGGCTGCCCATCACTGACAACCAGTTAGAAACTATCTCTACCTCTACAGAGTGACCAAAACTGCAATAACATAATAATAAAATAATGATAATAATCATCTTCATCAACAACTTCCATTTGAACAGCACACTTCACACAGGAATTAAAGTGAAACTTAAAAACAGAAAGTGAGGCGTTAGATGGACTATGAGCAGGAGGGAGGTTAGGGGACATAACAACATAAGAAATGATAGAAGAAAAAAGCCTAAGTTCCATCCAGTTCGCCTTCCACCTTCCTGGCTGTCGCCTGCACGTATGTCCTGAACTACCTACGTACTATAGCCCATAATGTTATTTCTTAAAAGAAAACTATCTCATCTGTGTTTGAAAAAATCAACACTTCCTGCTTCAACAGTCTCCCTAGGGAGCCTGTTCCACAGCTTCACTATTCGCTCACTGAAATAGTGTTTGCGTAGATTCCTTTTGAATTTACCCCCTTCAATCACAGGCCGTGTTCCTCTGGTTTTACTATTCTGGACAAGTTGAAACAGCCTGTTATGATCTATATTGCTTTGCCTCTTTAGAATCTTAAAGGCAGCAATCGTGTCGCCTCTCAATCTTCTCTTTTCCAAAGTGAACATGCTCAATTTACTTAGTCGTTCCTCATGGTCCAGTCCCTCCATTCCCTAAATCATTTTGTTTTCCCTCCTCTGTATCTTCTCAATTTCTCCAATATCCTTCTTGTACTGCGGCGATCAGAACTCTACGGTCCCTAAGTATGGTCTCATCAATGATTTATAATAAATAAATAATAATCTTGCATTTGATATAGCATTTTTCACGTCTTCGAGATGACTCAAAGCGCTTCACAGGATATACTGTAAAGTGAATCGACTGTATATTTTGTGGACAAAACGTGGCAACCAATTGCGCACAGCAGTGTCCCACAAACAGTCCCAATTTTTTTTTAAAGATTAAGAAAGTAATCCACCAATCGATTTATACAGTGGCAGGATTACCCGGCCATTTCGGCTTGCTATTAAGCTTTTGATGCATTCCAATATCTGGTTTGCTTTACTCAAGCCACAGAGCATTGTTGGGAGAGTTTCAATTTATTGTCAATCAGAGGAACCCCAGGTCCTTTTCATTTTCCATACATATTATTTTCCTTCCTTTCAAATAATAGTCCCTTCCAGGATTTGTTGTCCTATCTTGTTCTTGTGTGGGGGGTGTTAGAGTATATGAACTGGCTGCTATCGTTCCATGCTCTGTTAATTGCAGTTATAATGCTGGTTTCTGAACATTTGTGTGGTGCTAGTTTTGACAGCGAGGAGAGTACCTTCAAGACGTAGTTCCCAGGGCGCACGTCAGTGATATCAATCCATTGGCAATCTATGTCCGCGTTGTAGGTATCATAGCAACCAGGTCCCAATCCCTGCAGAAACAAACATGAGGAGCTATTAAATCAGAAAAACATGTCCATCAGATCCCAACTCTGCAGTGAATATCACCCACTCTCCCCACTTATACCAGAAAAGCACAGTCCAGGACATGTTCAGGGAGTGAGAATATCTGTGCAGCCTGGAGCAGGATGTTCTCTTCTCCGAAATGGAGTTGAAAACAAAAAGCCAGAATCAGAATCAAGTTAGAATTCAAACACCGAGGATGTTCCTGGTGGTACATCACTCCACTTCCCTTTTCTACAAAGCAACTAGTCTCTCATTCGAAACATTTACCTTGTTGACAAGGCAAATGGAATGAACGTGGAAGAGGAAAGTGGTTTAGTTGTACTTCTGGAACATAAATTAATGTTAGAGTGGTCAAGCAAGTCCCCACCTAATCCTCACTAGCCCCCAGGATCCCGACCCCATTAAGTGAGAGAGCACCCCCTCCCCTCCCCCATATAGGAATATAAGAATAGTAGATGAAAACAACACCTAGGTCCATGTAGTCCACCTTCTACCATCCTGGCAGCCACTTGCTACAATAAAGGAGATTTTGATAACAATTAATTCTGCATGGATTAATCTACAACAGAGTGGAAAGCTTTGGGAACCTTAGATCCAAAGTTGCCTGGTTCTTCCAAGCCACACTACACTTACTATACATCATGTCTTAACTTACTCGTAATACTGTGCCCCAAAATATTATTTTCCGAAAGAAATCCATCCAATTTGTATTTGGATGTATCACATTCAAATCTGTAGCATATCTTTGCTACAGAGACCAATGTATAAAAGGATAAAGAACGACCGTCACTAGAATATGCTGAGTGTGTTTTTACCTGAGTGTGTGCCGTGCAGGCGTACCGCCTGCTGAACCCTGGATCACACATCGTGTCCTCCAGACAGAAGCTGGCTTTGTGTCCTTCAGCTACTTTCCTCTGTGTCGTAGCCTCCAGGAGATCATAATGACTGAACTCATCCATACTATGAAAGTGTCTGGGGAGAACCAAGGTGTAGTCAATCACAACTTACATCTGCACAGCGCCTCTCACCACAGTGCTTGACAGTGGTGGAGCTCCACACCGAGCCAGGGTGAGGGGGAGGTGACCGTAGATACAGTCAAAAGGGAAGGTCTTGTCATGAGAGGTAGGCTTTAAGCCCAATCAGTCCATGCTGATGTTTATACCTCACAGCCAATTCTTAATAAAAATAATAATAACAATCCTTCCATTTGATATAGCACTTGATCACTTTGTTGAGATGTCTCAAAGTGCTTCACAGAATATACTGTAAATTGGAGTGACTTTGTCTTCTGTGGGCGAAATGGTCCTTACTCCCTCCCACACCCATGACAGGGACACAATTCTTTGCTCTTTAGTGCTTTTCAGGTATCACAGTCAGTGGTCCCAACCTGTCTCTGATATCACACCGGGAGCTTCCCAAACACACCGAGGATTCAGCACTTACTGATGGCAACTGTGCCACTCCCAGGTATGGCGGGGCTTGTTGGGGAGGAAGTCTGCTGTCCCTTGGTTTTTGACCCTTTGGGGGAAACGCAGCAGCACCCGGATGCTGAGGTCACTCACTCCTGACCTATAGGCAGATCTGAAGCAGGTAGACACAAAGCAAAGTTGTTTCCAAAATTTCACACAATTTTCCCGTTAACTCAGGCCTGAGGTCACATAGTGCAGGACAGGACACCCTCGAGGTTGGAAAGAGCAGGAGAGAAGACGGGATCATCAGAAAATGGTGGTTTGGTGAGGCCAGGCTTCGGGTTCAAAACCCTGTAGAGTGCAGGAGGGAGGGAAGAGTGAGGGAGGTGAGGAGTGTTGTAGAGTGTAGGAGGGAGGGAAGAGTGAGGGAGGTGAGGAGTATTGTAGAGTGTAGGAGGGAGGGAAGAGTGAGGGAGGTGAGGAGTTCACAGTCTGAAGGTTAGAAGAAGATGGAATGTGTAGGGGAATTGGGAGTTTGGGAGAAATGAGAGCTTCCTGGAGTTCTGATCAAAGTCACAGACAGAGAAAGACGAGGAAAACGAGATGGCTGTATGTGATCTATAACTTGAATCAAATAACGGAAAGGTTTCTGTGCCTCACTGTACAAGTTAGACTGGAGTCTGAGACACACAGACATGGCCAGTACCTGGACAGACAGTTCTCCTCAGCGGCACACCGCAGTGCGTACATGTGCAGCCTTTGGATATACGTGGAGGCTTGAATATAATACGGATCCGGGATCAAATCAGGCAGCCCTGGAACAGACACACAAACAATTTTATAACCACTCGATCAATCGTTACTTGACGTCTTTAAAACAGAGCAATTCCCTGCTCCAGTTATCCCAGTGTAAGGTCATGTTGGCTCTGTAATAAAACACAATGCTCCATTCAGCGCAGAGCAGCCAGGATGTTATACACTTAAATGTTAGTGTCTCACTTGTAATCAGACAGCATTTACACCACAATAAGTGTGAAGCATTGGCCCTGGGTTATAATTGTCCCCTCCACCCTGCCCCTTTTTCCCCCACTTTTCCCCCTCTTTACCTGTCTTGAAATCACACCTGAAGACTTTTTTCTTCGACTCTGCCCTTTCTCCCCGGCTCAGCGTCAAACTCCTTACTATTTATCACTTCTCTTACCAGATATTTTCCTCTTTGCCATCCTAAGTCGGCTTTTTCACCTCTTTCCTTAAACTTGCTGTATTTCACTTTCTGTTTCCTCCTCCTTTAAAAACGTATTTTCTTTTGGTGCCATTTTTGTAACTCGCATTTACACAGCACCTTTCACATAAAAATGTACGGAAAGTATTATAGAGAAATTTCCATCTGTTGGTGGCACACATATGTGGAATTCTCAGTCCAGTTTGGTTACTCTTAAGCACGGTCATGGGTTTCTGCGTGTCACACCAAAATGTGAAACATCTCAAAAGTTATCTCCAAGCGCTTTACACAACAATTAATACAACAGCAACTTGAATTTATATAAGGCCCTTCACGCTGGAATGCATCTCAGAGTGCTTTATACAGATGTACAGAGCCTTTAAAATCGAGAGGACATCTCCAAGTGCTTCACACTGCAACAAACTGAAACTGCCAAAATGTCAGTGGGTGTCAGCCTGACTCAGTTGGTAGCACTCTCGTCTTCGTGTCAGTTTCTCCCAGTGTCCTTGCCAATGATCCCCCCCGCCAGGTAAAAACGGTCATTCACTTCATGGCTGTTTGTGCTGTGCGCAAATTTCCCACAAAATAAAACACACAGTCACTACACTTTACGGTAAATCCTTTGAGACATCCGCCCGACGTGAAAAGGACAATTATTGATCAGAAATGAAGCAAGTGTTGTACAGGCAACAGCAATGCGTACAATAACTCAGTAACATTCCTCCACTGGTTCCCCAAACATCTTCTGCATCAGCTCCCACTAGGAGGCCTTTTGCCACTAAACAACAACAACTTGAATATATAGAGTTCTTGACAGTGGTGTCAAGCGGTATCAAACAGACCCCTTGTCTGCACCAGGCGCTGACGTCCAGCCAGGGAATGGGAGAATTGGGTCACGCCCTACCTCTGCAGTGAGAAGATTTTCACTGACAAAACACACAGTCACTACACTTTAAGGGCGTACACAGTGAACCACATTGAGACATCCTTCCTGGGTAAAAGGCGCTCTGTCAAAATTCAGGGATTATATTATTTTTCTGATAACACGAGTGCTGGTTGAACTAAATCTATTACTAGAGTTAAGTACTAGCGTTCTCTCTCGCCTCTGAATCAGAAGGTTGTGGGTTCAAGCCTCAAGTCGGGACTTGGAATCACACAGTCTAAGCTGACACTCCAGTGCAGCGCTGGGGGGGAGCTGCATTGTTGGAGGTGTTGGAGGTGTCGTCCTTCGGATGAGACGTTAAACCAAGGTCCCCTCTGCCTGTTCAGGTGGACGTTAAAGATCCCGTGGCACTATTCAGGTAGAGTAGGAAGTTTCTCTCTCCTGGTGTCCTGGCCAACAATGCCCCAGATAAAATTGGTCACTCACTCCATGACGGTTTGTGGGGACTTTGCTATTCACAAACTAGTTGGCGCATTTCGCCCACAAGATATACAGTCACTACACTGTACAGTATATCCTGTGAGGCACTTTGCGACGCCTCAACGAGCTGATGTTATTATTATTATTGTTATTATTAGCTTGAAAAATTTTTTTTTATATAGTGAACTTACCGTTCTGGAAATACCGGGTGCCGTAGCCCTGTCTCGTGCGGGAAACGGGTCTCGAGGAGCGGGACGAGGAGTAGGCGTTGTAAAACACGCTGTTCCGGTTCTTCAAGGGATTCCGAGGATCGTCTGCCAACATCTGCCGGGTGCTCCTCACACTCGGGGCCTCCTGGCCGGAGGCGCTGGGTGGGAGATCGCCTCCCTCACCCGCTACTGGGTAAGGAGGGGGGCGAGGGGGGAAACCCCCGCTGCTCTGTGCCCCCGAGTCGGGCTGCTGACTGGTCCCCACTGGGGCAAAACTCACACCTCCACCTGCCGGGGAGGGAATCCCCTGCGTGAAATTGACACCCCGGGATCCTGAGATTCCGCGGGCTTCCTGCAGCCCCCACCCAGGGTGCTCGGCTAACCTGGGGGACACAACCCTGGTCCCAGAGGGTCTGGCCGCTCGTCCAGCCCCACTCCCACTGCCTCGCCTCCCAGCCCCACTCCCACCCGCTCGCCTCTCAGCCCCACTCCCACCCCCTCGCCTCCCAGCCCCACTCCCACTCCCTCGTCCCCTAGCCCCACTCCCTCCACCCCTGCTCAGGTACACACTCTGGGGCTCTGTGAGGCTATCGCTAACCCGGGGTCGGTAAGCACCACCACTGTTGAGGAAGCTATACACTTGTCCATTGCTCTCCCACTGGATGCGTTGTCTCCACACCCTGCTCCGAGCTTGGGCTTGGGCTTGAGCTTGAGTTTGAGCTTGCTGGGCTCTTGCGCCTGGTAGCCCAAAGGTTGACAGCAAGTAGCAGAGGAGGGCGAGAAGAGGTCCCATCCTGTAGGCAAAAGGGAACAAGCAAAGGGTTTCCATTTCAGCACTAAATAAAGCCGGCAAACTGATGTCTCTCTCCTGACTGGAGCGTTGGCCACATCTACTCTCCTTCCCAGCCAGAGGAACACTGAAACTTTCACATCTCTTCGTTCGCTCTTCGAGTCTCAGTGAGGTCATTCTTTAACCCCTTAAGAACTGAATTAGTCAGACACCATGGCTCTATATCAAGCAGATCCCAAGCTATAGATTTGCACCTGACTCCCTCTCTGTCTCCCTCCCTCCTTCTCTACCCCCCACTCTCTCCCTCCCTTCCTCCCTCACTCTTTCTCTCTTCCTCCCTTTCCCTCTCTCTCTCTCTCTCTCTCTCTCCCCTCCCTCCCCCCGCCACCCCAGTGTGTGTCAGGGGGGTATTCCAAGTGCCATTAAATTTGAGTTTAAAATTTTTCTTTGATAATAAGGTACTCTTCCAAATTTATTGCAACAAAAAATTTTTTTTTTCCCTTTTCAACTGAAACATGTGTACATTGAATTAAACCTGTTTCACCCATAAAATACAATCAACTTTATGTTATATTCTGTGAAGAGCTTTGAGACATCTCAAAGACGTTATAAGGTGCTATGTAAAATGCAAGGATTATTATTAATATTATTAGTAAACTATTCCTTGCTGCATTAACTGCTGATCAATGAAACCACTCTTTTGTTTACAAAAGACAAGAAATATTCTTATTACTCTTATTTAAAATGGATTCTAGTTACAGACAACTTACTTTGTTTTTGGACACCGGGTTTCTGGCACATACAAACACCAATCATTGTGCTTAAGAGTATCCAAACCAGAATTCCATATATGTACTCCGCCCACACATAGGAATTTCCTCTATATTGGGAATGGAATACATACTGTTTACCCAATTCAAGAGAGTATTAGGCACAGATTCCAATGGCTTGGAGACCCCAGACTGTGGATTGGGGGGTAACTCCTGGAGTTTCAAGCTAACACTGCATAGCTTGCCATTGATATCGCAGTCTGGCAAGCTTTCACGCTTCTCTTCCAGCTAGGACCACTCATTAGGGCTTTGGCTTGTAGGGTTAGCGGGAGCTGAGTGGCAAGAATCCCTGCTTCTATGAGTATAACTCTGCCTGCTAGATCTTGAGTGAAAGACCCTTGACCTCCCAATATCATGTCCAAGATGTGGACCTGTGAGAAATCAGCATTTTATACGGTTTGCTATTGGCAAACCCTCATTGGGTTAAACACCTCAGCTTTCTGCAGTTCAGATTAATTTAGCAAGAGCTGGGGTGGCCAGATCTGACCTCATCATTCCCATTCACCAGGGGTTCCTTGGCTTGTCTATTCTGGCGGGGAACCATTGTTTAATAAAGAGCTGCCATTGGAAAATAGCCTCTGAGCATTCTCTGTTCCAATGATTTCCTTTCATTAATTATAATAACAATAATCCTTACATTTGATACAATGCCATCAATATCAAAAACATCACAGAGCGGCTCACAGGGAATTGCTATCAAGTGTAGTGACTGTATTTGTTGGCAAACCCATCAGCCAGTTTGCTAACAGCAATGTATCACAAACAGCTGTGAATGAAATGGCCAATTTTGTTTGAAGGATTGTTGGCCCTGATATTGGGGGAAACTCCCTTCTCTTTTTCAAGTGTATGGGATTATTAACATCCACCTAAACAGGCAGACAGATCTCAGTTTAACGTCTCACGCAGTGCACGACGCCTCTGACAATGCAGCATTCCTCCCAAACTAGCCCTCAGCCTAATTTGTACCGGATTGCCAGCCTTGGCTGTGAGCTCTAAGTCCAAACAAGGGGCTTGACCGCGCAGCCTCCTGAACCAGAGGGGAGAGCGCTGCCAATGTTAGCTCAGGTACCCAGTTTTCCAGCAGGACACCGGGCTGCTTCTCGTAAGTAAAAAAATCACTTGGGGGATGGCTTCACAGACACACACACAGCCCTTTCCAGTTGTTTGTTCTTTGTGTGCGAGTCAGGTCTCTTCTATGTGTGTCAACAGATTATTTGACTGAAGCCAATATCACAGCCCTGTGATGATCCTGTCTTTGCCCATGTCCATACTCACGTACGTCCCAGGAGAGGGAGGGTGGAGGGGAGGGGGAGTAGTAATCAGGAGCAGAAATTCTGAAGAGATGTCTCTTGCCCAGAGCCACTGAAGCTACTTGTTTCTCCTACTTGTCCTCCTCAAAAACACCTTCCCTTGATTCTCTTCCCACTCTCCAACTACTGTCCATCTCCCAAGAAAAGCTGATGTGTTTTGCACACAATCCCCAGATAAAAATGGCACTCACTCTATTTCTGTTTGTGGGACATTGCCATGTGCAAATTGGCTGCCGCGTTTGCCTATAAATATATAGTCACTACACTTCACAGTAAAGTCCTGTGAAGTGCTTTGAGACAGCTCAATGTGGTAAAGGGAGGCACTGGGTCAAATCAAGGTGTGTTATCGTGGTTGAATGTTTTAGGTTTTGTCTAAAATACAGTTATTAGCACAAAACAACATGGAGGGATACAAAAACAGAAGTCGCTGGGAACACTCAGCAGGTCAGGCAGCATCTAGAAAGGAGAAAGGAAAGTGAGCCAACGTTTCGGGTCCACGACCCTCTGTCAGAATGGAGGGATACATCTTGAATATTCCTGACCCTCTCAGAGCAGTCCTCAAACATCAAAGCCCCTGAAATACGCCAGGTAATAAAGAGCCCAGTCAACCCCCCCCACCCACAAACTCACTGTACGTTGAAGCAATTTATTTTCTCAAATAATATGCAGAACATAATCAAACCCTTCCAATGTAACTAGACATAAATTATAAAATGTAATGTTTCATGGATATAAATATCTGTCTGTGCCTGTGAGGCTGGATGAATGGGGCACAGTTTTAAGGTGTTAGTGAGTGTGACAAAATGTTTTAATATTTCCTGGCTTTCACCTGCAATCGTTCAGTCAAATGCTTCGGGCACATTCATGAAACATTGCTCTTGCCTTGGGATGTCCTCCAGACGTGAAAGGCGCTCTATAAATGGAATCTTGTTGTTGTTGTTGTTGTTGTGAAGTGACTGTTATAATAATAATCCTTATATTTAATGTAGGACTTTTAACATTGTTGAGACATCAGAATATACTGTAAAATGAATTGAGTGTGGGTGAAACGCAGCAGCCAATTGGGCAAAGCAGTCGTGGATTGTGGTTTCTTTTTGAGCGGGTTATTACCCCTTTCGAACAAAATTGGCCAATTGACTAACAGCCGGGTTCCAAGTCACTGTTAGGTAAACAGAGGCATGTGGAGTAAGGAAACTTGCCTAAGGTTTTGCCCTGCCCGGGAATCAAACCCAGATCCGCTGGCTTGTGAGTTTTATGAGCGGAAGACGAATGGTTCCCAGGCACATTGTTATATACAAATCAGTTATTTTTGTCTGGGGTATTGTAGGGGTGCAGGGGGCAGAGGGGATGGGAGGAGGGGGGACAGGGGCAGTTGGGGACAGTGGGTGGAAGAGTCAGAGGAATTAGTGGACGATGGTGGACATGCGGAGAATGTTCTCACTGTATTTCTAAGTTTTAGCATAAGGAGATGAAGAAGAAAGTGCCTTTTCCACTCCCACCCCCCCACCACCCACCCCCCATATAGCCCATCCCCTCTCTTCTCTTTCCTAAGCCACAGCGAATGAGGCAGGAGCACATCTCAGTCTATGGAGGAGACAGAGAGCGTGAGCGCGTGTGAGCCACACAGCACATCTGGCAGTGTTTGGGTGGCTGAGGTTTTGCTCTGCCCAGTGAACCATTGTAAGTGTAACCAGAGAGACAGGGATCTGATAGCAGCTCGTAAAAGCAAACTCAATGGTTCTTGGGTCCAGGAACTTCAGAGAAAGGAAAATAAAGATGACAGCACATTGGGAATCACTCCAGAGATGCAGACTCGGAGCAGGAGAGAGGGTTGGAGGTGGGGTTTGGGGGTTTGGGGGTTGGGGGGAAGTCAGGGAACTCAACTCCCCTCCCTGGGAAAACACCTCTGAAAACCTAAATACAAGGTTGCTGGTTATACCCCGTGCTGGCTTAGAATCATAGAATATTACAGCACAAAAGGAGGCCATTCAGCCCATGGTGCACAGGCATCCATGGTGCCGGCTCTTAGGAAGATCTACCCAATCAGGCCCCCTCACCCGCTCTTTCCCCATATCCCTGCAAGTTTTCCCTTTTCAAGTACCTCTCCAATTCCCTTTTGAAAGTTGTTATTGAATCTGTTTCCCCATCCTTTCAGGCCGTGAATGAAAATGTCTCCTCATCTCCCCTCTGGTTCTGTCGCCAATTATCTTGACTCTATGCTTCTCCTCTCTTCTCTCCCTTGTGATTGCACTTTTGCCCTGACTCCCTCATTGGAGCCAGACTCAGCACTGCTACACACACAGGGCAGCTCACGCAAGCAAGAGCAACAATCGCCTGGAAATATGCACAGTCACTACACTTTGCAGTAAATCCCTTGTGAAGTGAAGAGCTTTGAGATGTCCTCCTGATGTGAAAGGATCTATATCGAACAGGAGGATTATTTTAGAGGCTACGGTGGCGATACGCCAAGGACTGACTATCTGAAAGTCTCTGCGTCAGTCTCCTTGTAACATCCGAACTTGCCAGAACAATCCCCAGCGCTAATAAAACTTTTCAGGACACACTCTCCACGTCCGACCCACTGCTTTTCTAGCTTTTCTTGTTATAAAACAAGCGTCGATTTATTTTCTTGAATTCTCCCGATCATTAAAAGGGTCGGCCCCAGGATTGAGGCTCTGGGACACTATCCTGGGGGAGTGAGGGGCGCTATATAAATGCAAGTTGTCGTTGTTCACACATCACATTGACCTCGAGAGACTGTGGACACAGACTGAAGCCTCCGCCCACGCCTCAGGTCATGAATTCACTCCCTCGGGTGGAAGTGGAGGCACAAGGACCGAGTGTTCAGTCTGGTCTGATCTCAATGACTTGGGGGCCTGAGCACAGGCATTGCAATCGGTGTCAGCCTGGCTCAGTCGGTAGCTCTCTCGCCCCTGAGTGAGACGTGCACAGGCTTCATAAGTGTGGGTTCAAGCCCCACATCCAGACTCTGAGCTCACAGTCTAGGCTGATGCTCCAGGGAAGTGTTGGGAGGTGGGGGGGTTGCTGCATTGTCAGAGGTGTCAAAGAGACGTTAAACCGAGGTGCCATCTATGCCTGTCCAGGTTAATTGGAGAACCCACGGCACTGCTTGAAAAGAGAAGGGA